GGAAGTGACATTTTCGAAATAAATTGAATTACTGAAATGTCAAACAACTTTATTGTGTTGGTTGCTTAGCAATGTCATGACATAAGTGATAACTACCCGTGAAAACTATCCATGGGTAGTTATCAGTGTAATGATGGTTTCATTGGTTATTTCGACACACATGACTAGAAATAGACAAATTTGATAGGATAATTTTTTTGGCAAAAAATTTTCAAATGAATAAATAGATACATGAGTACAAAAAGCAGTCAGTAGTAAATATAATTTGAAAACATTTAAATCTCCATGAAATATTTTTCTAATTAAAAGTTTTGAATCTATTTGGAATAATGGTAACTTATCGGGAGTTGTGTATCTATCAACCAGATGATTTTGTAATAACTACAACATACTCTGCGTTGGGAAATATATAAAAAATGAAAATCATGAAAATTCCAAAATTAGATAGTCAAGGCCTAGTATGAACATGACTCTCAAGCAATAATATTTTTGAATCTGGTTTTTGTCGAAGAATCTGGCAATATTTACAACTATTCGCATTGTTATCAGTGATATTAAAAATCATGGAGAAAGTCGTAAACCACCATGTCCTTAAATATTTGGAAAGCTTTATTATCTTGAGCACTCACCAATATAGCTTTCATCTTATGTCATCCATATTTGGAATAACGCAACGTATGGCTCTTCAGCTTCCTGAAAGAACGTTTCCTACAAGTGGCCATCAACGGATATCTCTCTAATGCTTTCACCATCAACGGTGGTGTTCCCCAGGGATCCATATTGGCTCAAACCCTCTTTTTATTGCATATCAACGACTTATAAGGAAAAAACCAAGCATCCAATATACTGCTTGGTTAACGACAGCACACTTCTCTCGTTATTCCATTTGGATTCCAGGAGGAATCTAGAGATAACTGTCGCCAAACTGGATACACTAACATCAGGACAGACAATTCCGCTTCCTTCTTCGATAAGTTTGTTGGGGTTTAAAATGGACACCAATATGTCTTGGCACAATCATGTCGCTGGAACTGCAAAGTTTGCTTCTCAAAAGCTTGAAACACAGTTCTGAACCAGAAAACTACCGGCCTCAACAACTTTTGATGCTTTATAGAGCTTGGAGGAGCTCGTGTACGGAGCCCTTCCCCCAAACATAATCTGAAGCTGCTAGATTCTATCGAGAAAAGAGCCATCCGGCTGATTGGAGACGCGAACATCACTTGCAACCTTGATAGTCTGGAACATCGAAGAAGGGTTGGAAATGTGTCTCTTTCTCTATCTTCTATAGATACTTTCACGAGAAGTGGTCAAGTGACTTGGCACATTCGATTCCATCAAGAGCGGTTGAGTGGTGGAATAGCGTAAGCTAAAATTCGCCAAGATACAAATATTTCTGCCTTAGTATGGCAAGCCGGTATGATTTTAAGAATCGAGAGTAGAAAGGGCATCATTCCACCAAGGACTCCAATAATCAGAACGACCATCTTGACAGAGTGATCTGGATAGAGTCTGCGGAGATCGAAGAGAAAATCTCGATATTTTATCCGTTTGTCCTCCTCTTTCCTGACGATATTTGTCTCGCCAGGAGCTGAAAACTCCACGACAAATATCGTGTTGTTCTGATGGTCGAGAAGGACTACATCATGCTTATTAGCTTGTATGAGCCTGAGGGTGGGAAACGAATAGGTCCAATGAATTCGGCACTTCTCGTTCCTTACAACGGATTCAATATCCCCCGGAGCGTAGGGCCACACCGGTGTCTCGTCAATACCGTCAATACCTCCTCAGTTTCCGACTTCAGCCAACGCGACCTGAGGAAAGCGAACGTCAGGCGCTTTGATAAGCCAAGGTCTTCAATGTCATTGAAGAAGACCCCATGCATTGGCTTATCCTTGTGTTTCCGCAGAAGTGAGGTGATCTCTGCGGCTTTTATCTGAGCTTTTTGCTGAACGGGTTCCAACTCGGTGACAGAGTTGTAGTCACCTCGTTCAGAGTCGAAAACTATACCGAGTTCATCAGCTGCTCGAGCAGCTGCCCTAAGGAGAAATGCTCCAANTGAATTTACGTCAGAGTACGAAGAGACAAATGGGTCAAACTTTCAAAAACTACTACGTCATTACTCAAAAAGTCAAAATGACAATGACGTATTCGACGAACGCTTCAGATTGAAGGTATTCTACTCCGTAGTTATTTTGTACAAAATTGTTTTCAACAAAAAACTTTTAATCCAAACTACTTTTCTTTAAAAGTTTCTGTCCATCTAGAGACAAAGTATAAAACCCTCGAACTGCAAAAAACATCTTGGATTAAATCTGTTTTCAGTCTAGACCTTTGACAAACACTTGACAAATAATACTGTAATTGCAATTATGAATAACAAAAAACTCAGTACACATATTTGTCTGTAACATCCAATATAGGGATGTTACAGACATCCTCTCAAGAAAGATGTTTTAGTACGAAATTAATATGCTATCCTATTTTTGTAGCTCATTAGTGGAAAGGTTTTTTGTTACACAATGTGAATGTGAGAGTTAAATCATGCAATTCCACATCGTATATACATCGAAATAATTTGAAAGTGGTTTTTCATAAAACGCTTTTAGATTACTGAATCTTTTCGTGAATGAAACAGAACTCCCTTTTACGGCTATTGAGTAAAATACACCCTTCAGGAAAAGCATTTATCTAATCAGTATCCTATTAACACTTTTATTATATTCAAAAATGGTAACCATGTGTGTAAACATGTGAATACATTAATTAAGTGACGTAGAAGAACGGCTACTGCCAAATTCCGTTCTCAACGTTCATTTTGTGCTGTACTATTTTTTTTTCTTGGGCCATCGACCACTTTGTCATTAGCCTCGTGTTGTGGGTAGTCAATGTAAATCACTTTCCGAGCCACCTAGAGTATCATCATTAACGCTACACAAAGAACCTACCTGCATATTTCAAGATTTTGGGTTCAGTAGCTTCGGCTGTACATTGATATGAGAGCCGGCAGCAGTTGATGATTCATATTTTTCTTTTGAAAAACATGCCAACCGCACTAAGTAATGAATAGCTTCGAAATCGAATTGTGTCACCTATAAAGAAATTCGCAAAACTAACACAACCGTCAACGACGTCTGCCGTCAAGCGTCTGCCCGCGTTCGGTCGCATTCTCGGCGATTGCGCTTCATTGCTTAGACCGCCCCTCTACCCCCGCACATCGTGCCCTGTCATCTTACAGTAGACGCGATGCGCAATGACTTTCTGCGTAGCGTCAAGTTAATCTTATCGTGATAACTTTTAAACGATTCGTCCGAATTACTTATAGAAAAATCCAAAGAAATGAATTTTAAATGTTCAAGTCCGTCTCGGATATACCTACACAGTAGGTTGAATGGACTGACGGCTATCAGAAAACAATTACTCACTGGCTTTTACCACGAACGGCGTTGGATTATATCCGACAGGCGTCAGAGCAGGAATATTCGCAGTAAGTCTTCAGGACCATCTGCATCAATGGCCAATGTAGTATCATCATAAAGAACTACTGAATTTGAACTGATATAGTCAGGTAGATCGTTTATGAATAACAAAAAAATAAGCGGCCCCAAGATCGATCCCTGAGGAACTCCCCGGTCCATCTCATAATATTCAGATGTATGCTCTCCGAATTTAACTGATATTTTTCTGAAGCGCATGTATACCATCAGCCATGACAAGAAATTGCCAAGAAAACCAAGAGAATATAATTTACTTTCGATTATCTCCGGGTCAATAATGTCAAATGCCTTCGATAAGTCAAAGAAAAGTGCTCTCACATATTTCATGTTATCTAGTGAACCGTAAATATATTTGAAAAAATTATACGAATCACTTTGGAACGACTTACCTTGATAGAAACCATGCTGATATTTTGACAGTATTCGGAATTTGGATGAAAATGAGAACATTTTATTATAAACACATCTTTCAAATACCTTCCCGATAATGGTGGGAATTGTTATGGGTCGAAAATTACACATACTGGAGGGGTCGCCTTTTTTGAAAATAGGGCTTACAACTCCACTTTTGAGAAAATCGGGGAAAACCCCGCAAGTGTAACGACAAAATACGATTCAAATGTGACAGCGAAAAAGGATATAGAACAACTCAATAATCTGCCGATGTAAGTAGTTGTAACGTTAGTTCTGCTGGATGTGGAACAATGCAAGTTCAGAGTGGATATGGACTAATATAAGAGAACGAAATAAAATNTTGTTCACTGTGGTTCTGGCGTTGAATTTGGTCATTATTACGCCCCGGTCAAAGAAGAAACGGACTGGTTTAAGTTTGACGATATTCGTGTCACGAAGTGTTCTGGTGATGCATTGAATTTATTGGAGCCTCTGGAGACATCCTACATTTTGTTTTATAAGAGAGAGGACATTGTTAGATCAAGATCTTCAGATGATGTGGGTTTTCTGCAGCTGAAAAAGCAAATGCGCCACTGGAATCAATGAAGTTGACCCGGAGCGCCAATTAATTTTTATTGTTGTTTTTATTTTATTTTTATTGAAAAAGTAGTATATTTATAATGGTTTGGCGATATATTGAGCATTTTTTTAAAATACCTTCGTTGAGATGCAATCTATTCTGTCAGAATTTGTGTTTTTCAATGAGCTAATCGCATCTAATACAGGGGAGAAATGAAATGTTTCACTTCCGTACATTGTGGTACAATTATTTTTTTTTGAACTGAAGTGGTTGTCGACAGCTATTTTAGCATTTCTTGCATAGAAACTGCCGAAAGCATTTGCGACGATTATTTCATCTTCAACAATGTCATCATTTATATTCATTTCATAATTCGCTGTATTTTTTGTTTTTTCTGTTTTGTTCCTCACGATATTCCAAATTTGTTTCTGCTTCTGATGGTGACCCAGACCTTCTAAGCATTCATATGACAAAATCATAGTGTGCCGTGATTTTACGAATAGGGCTATAGTAATATTAAAAAAATCATGTTATCGTTGAGTATTATACATATAACAATGTTTCTTGAGTTATTTCATTTTTTCAACCCTCAGCAATTTGATAGGTTAGATTCTTTCACATTTTTCGATGTTACCTTGAACATTTTCATTGGGTATCATTTCCCGTAATATATTTGAGGAGTAACTGTTACGTCTTTGTACTAGTTTCGCGAATATTCATCATTACAAAAGGCGTGGGTAAATCCACGGGTAAATCCGGTAGTCATAGCAACCGTTCATAACAAACTGAAACTGGGGCAGATTGTTGACGTTATGAGAAAATAATTCCCTGTAAGCACAATGTTACTGAATATTTTTTCGTTTCGTGAGTGAAATAGTGCCTAACATACAGTATTTACTACAATGAAGACTGAAAACCTAGACTGCTTCCTCAATATCTTCCAGTTTTTCACCTCTCGTTAAGTTAAGTAGAAAAAGCCAATCACTCTTGCTGATGAAATGAATGATGTTCCTGTCAAACCTAGAAGAAAAAAAGTGGATGTTCCAGTACATTATGGAAGCGGAGACCAGAAAAAGTCGTTTTCCGCCAATTTCCATTCAGGCAACTACTGCAGAGGTAGGGATCACGAACCGATACACACCGAGATCGTTGTTGAAATTCCAGAATCAGACAAAAGCGCCAAGAGCAGCAGAAGACATCTCGCCAAAGAGAACGCAAGACTGGAACAGGAAAACAAAGAATTGTTCATGAAATTCCACGAGTTGGAAGATCTATCCGTGAGAAAAATATGTAAACTGAGGGAAAAAACTGGCTCTCTTCAAAGCCTGAACGCCAGTTTGGAGAAAGAAAACAACGAATTGAAGGCTCTGTATCAAAATTTACTGTTTAAGTTCAATGATGTCAATGACCAGCTGGAGGCCTCAAAGTTCTGCAAATCTTGCGAAGATCTTAAAATAACCGTTGAAAAGTACAGTGCTGATAATAGTTTTTTGAGGACAGGCAACAAAGAATTGGCGGAGGATCTTGATATGCTCAAAACAGTTGTTTACAGGTGAGTCATACTTTTTCTATTATTAATATTAACGTGTCTCGGCATCTAATATCCACTGACACGGGATCTGTGATACATAACGATAAAAAACATAAAAATCAGATTAAATTAAACAGTCGATACCCCTTGCGTTGATCTTCGCGTTTTCAAATATGATATTCTGGACATCTCCAGATATTCCGGTTGGGGTATAGCTTCCGTAGTTCATTATATGAGGTTGGACAAAGTAACTAATATGTTCAGTGAACCTTGGGATAGAGTCGATCCATAATCCTGAATTCTTAGAGACTTCAACGACTTCTAGTATATTTCCTTTCGACAAACATTTGTGTGAAAACGATCTGACGACTTTTTCAACATTACATGAATGAGAGGAAGTCAACTATCTTGGTCAATCTCTATTGTGAACTTTATTGTCGGTTATTGTTATGTTGACTTTCATCCCAAACTTTTGTACCGTTCTGGTGAATCCAAAAAAAAAATTCTTCAAAATGTTTGATGTATGTGTTACCTGAAGGGAAGATAGATAACCATAACAATGTGACATGAAATAGTAACAGAGTTTTCAATGAAAGAAAAAACTAGTAATTGCTTCATTATAGTTCCAAGTGTACTAATTGTTTTTCAGTTTAAACAATTGTTACCGTAATCATTTGCCGATATGTATAATGGCTATATTGATAGTATTTCATAGTTTTGTTATTGTAAAGTGTGAAAGGCAATATGAATTTATTTGTTTACATAAAAAAGGTTTCGATCTTCCAGGGTAATTTTTTATTGAATATAAAAACACTTCTAGGTTCAGCAAAGAATCAGGAAATTTTCAGTTGAATCCGAATGACGTTTCAACAAGTTTTGGTAGTAAATACAAACTTTTTATCTCGAAACTCATAGCGTAGCACCACTGATGAGACTGAGTTCAGGTCGAAGCAGCTGCCCGGTTTTGGACCACCAAGGTTTTGAATTCATTAATTATCTTACAGTGTAACCACAGAGTAATTGGACCAAAAATTTCAGTTTTCAAGCTAAATACATCAAATATAAAAGTTGTATCCACAGATGTTATTCGTCAAAAATATTTTTCGGTCATAGTTTCGAAGGCATGTAATCTGAAATTTAGAAAAAACCAACACTGAAAAATGTGTTTTTTTAATATCTCACGTAAACACTCAATATCATACGTAAAAACATGATCAAAATTGAAATACAGAATATCATAAGAAAGACTCCATTCCTGTCCCAAAAGCAAAAAAATTTATATTGTGATGATTTTATTAAACAAATGTAACTGGTATCCCTCTTTTTGACAAAATTCTGTAACATTTGATTACACAACAACCCATACCTATGATTCTAAATTACATTTATTCCAAAAACTATAATACCTTTCGCATCATTATCCGTAATCTCAAATTTTTTTGCAAAAATTCTGATCATTACCATATTGATTTCAACTTAAGAGCCACCGGTAGACAGATGTTTCAGCCTGTCGGGTATCGTCAGTATCGGACAGGCGGTCCTCGATTGAAGACAAAATGTGAACAACCAACAAAAGTACTTAATAAAATAACTGCGTGAATACAAGCGAGACATAAGTGGAACCACCTATTGGTGTGACACCCAAGTCAACTCAAGTTGAAATCAGTATGGGAAAGATCAGAGTAGTACCTATCTATTTCTCTTATATCTATTATATCAATTATAACAATTAAGAAAATATTACCATCTATTGTCGTTCCTTTAACATACTTAATGAATCAATCACTTATACAAGGATACTTTCCAGAAGTTCTGAAAAAATCACTCGTTATACCTGTATATAAAAAAGGAAACCCCACAGAAAGGGACAACTATAGGCAAATATCTTTGTTATGCTCGATATCTAAATTATTTGAAAAAGTTGTAGCACGTAGGGTTATGGATCATTTGGAATCAAATAGGCTGTTATGTATGTCTCAGCATGGTTTCAGGAAAAATNTTTCCTAAATTTGATTTTCAGACTTAATGTCCAGCTGGAAAGGTATCAAGAAGTACTTAGAAGAAATAAAATAAATATTCCTTCACCACCACAAGCAGATGGTATTCAAAAAAGAGATACCTTGTATACTTCCTGGGATGATATCAGCAAAGAAATATTATCAGATGTGCACAGAAACCACAAACACACACCTATATCTTGGGGTAGCGTGAATAAACATACTTTAGGTGAGTTTAGCGTATGTAGTCTGGTTCACATGTACTCGATTTAGCTCTTTTTGGTGACATTTTTCAGCCCAGTCCAAAAATTACGACCAAGGTGTCATTCGATTCGTATTTTTGCCTAGAAAGTTTAANAGTACACCCTCGCATTTTCCAGGTAGACCAAAAATCTGTAGTATTATAGTGTTTTCAGAAATATATCGCAGGGTGCAAGGCCTCCTAAGAATCGACATCGAGAACAGCTTGTCAAATGGAGGAAGAGCTTCCTGAATTCCGTTATGGTCCCGCCCACTAGATGTGCATTCGTTAGAAGACTATGAGAGCAAGAGAAAGAGAGATAATTCTTAAGTCTCTTCCTAGACTTGACAAGCTGTATACCTATTCTGATCAGTACTCAAAAGTAGTTATCATGGTATTGAGTGTTTTTTTTTAATATTTGATAATGGGATCAAACCCGAAACCGGTCGTAAAATAAAATGTTTCAGGGTATTTAGACAAAAAAGTTCTTATTCATTTCATTTGAGATATGTAAACAAAATGCCGAACTTGTTTTCATTTTCCCCTAACTTTATTTGAAGAAATATGAGGAAATCTTTAGTGAAACGTTCATTTTCATACACCACGTGAAGAAAATACGCCCTTTATCAAATATCGTTTCTCAAGCTATATTTCGTTTTGCCAAGCTATAACTATTTGGAATTGGGTGATCTTGTTTTCGCTTATTTCGATTTTTTCTGCATGAACCCTTTGATTTAATATTCATATCATGGACGTGCTTAAAAAACATATTTGCGACTCCGCCGTATAGAATTGAAAATAACATAATTTTTTTCTAAATTATTTCAAACCCTATCATCGGATACCCATATGATGAGGTTGCATTAACAAACTGGTCAGCCATCCTGGGTGATCTACCAAATTGAATTTACAGTGAAATCATAACCATAGTTCATATTTTTTCAGCATGCCCACATTGAGTCTGTAGATTAGGTTAGGTTAGGTCCATAGTGAGTGAGTCTATTCGCCCCTCCACCGCAACCCGCAAGGGTTTATTGTGGCTCACACCTATTCACACTTGACCAAATAAACCCAGCTTCTTAACGAAACCGATTAGTTTGTATGGTGAGTAGTCTTTCAGGTTATATGGTAAGAGTACGGCCCTGCCGAATTATAAAAACCTGATTCGGCCCCCAGCGGGGCAGGCACTAAGTATGTGCCGTGCTGTTTCATCATTTTCCAAACAGAGGCGGAAAATGGCAGTGACCTGTAAGAAGGTCTGTTAGACATCGTAGTTCATCCCTTCTGTAGTACAACAACTGTGTGGTATCAAGCTTGGAGAGGTGAATGAACGCGTTGGAGTGAGCCAATCCTGGAAGAATCTGCCAGAAGTCCATTCTTGCTATCCAGGTGTTCAGTGTTTGTTTGGCAAAGCCTAAAGCGATGCCAATGACAGGTTCTGGCCCGACGAAGCTGCTTGTAGCACCCTCCTTTGCAAGAGAGTCAGCAGCCTCATTCCCTTCCAGGCCAGTATGGCCAGGAATCTAGACCAGACACAATCCGTCAAGGCTTTTTATCAAGGAAACAGTATTTTATAAGGCAGTTCATAGTTGACAGTTGTAGGCATAAACTTGGAGGTCCTTTCCAAAATGCTGTGACTTCCAATGCCAACCAACAGTCTGTTGCACTCTGCATTGAATTGATTTCTGCAATTGGCAATGTGCACAAGTCTATATGCAGTCCATCTAGCTTCTCTCTCCAAAAAAATGTGGAGGAGAGGTAAATCTGAAAGAATTTCCATTGCCGCTGACGGTTTGGTACTAATGGCACCACTGATAGCCAGACAAGCCTGTCTCTGTAAGCTAGAAAGCTTCGCCCGGGCCATTTTCTGTAAAGCCTTCGGCAACCAGACAATTGCTCCATAAGTAATAACTGGTCTGTGTTACCACAAATTCATCGACATATTCATAGGGACACTCTGGCTTAGTGTAAAACTTTTTCCAAGTGAGCGTTCCAGGTGAGTTTTTTATCAAGGATAACGCAAAGATATTTCACCTCCGTTCCAAATGGAATGACCTCACCATTGAGGTGAAGTGACGTTAGATCGTCCAATTTTCTCCTCCTGGTGAAGGGGACAGACTGGGGTTGACAGACATCTGCTGCCTCAGGCACCAACTGTGAACAACCTCCATTGGGCTTTGGATGATGTTACAGGCTATATCATCCAAAGCACGATAGATGCTGTTCACAGTTGGTGTCTGAGGGACCAGATGTCATTGAATGTGTAACAAACAAAATAGTCTGTCATTTTTGTCGGTGCGCCATATTTGATAATCATGCACTGTCACTTGCAAATAAAAAGTTGCAAAATTTGACCCGAACATTGTCAAACATTGTCAATTAAATAAAATCATGTTGAAGCTAAACTTTCCATCTACTGTATAAAAATGGATAATTGTTGGTTGGTTAGTTGGTGATAAACTTCTACATCGCTCGACCAATCGTGATGAAACTTGACATATATACGTAATTTTTCATAGAGAAGGTTTTTAGGCTATCAATTTTTCTGTGACTCGCCACTGATTCTGTCAAACTTTGGAACAGCAACCATACATCAACATAGTACTAGTCTACTATATAAAAATGGATGCTTGTTGGTTGTTTGGTGGGTAAGTGAAAAACTTCTTCATCGCTCAACTGAACGTGATGAAACTTGATATGTATAAGTAATTTTTCATAGAGAAGGTGTCGAGGCTATCAATTTTTCTGTAACTCGCCACTAGATGGTGCTGTAGAACATTTTTTTCGAAATCACTGTTCTATAACGCCGCGCAAGCCTAAGTTCGTTGATTCTGATTCTGTCAAAACATTGGAACAGCAGCGATACAGCAACATAGTACTAGTAACTTATAAATGACGATCGATTCTGTAATCGACACAAAAATCTCTACGCTCTTTTTGAAACAGTAATCTTGATTTTGAGCAAAAAACTCTTTTTTACTTTCAATATAATATGTTCTTAGGCCCCCTTCTGGACGCCTATGAAGACACGATCAAAGAGAAGGAAGAAATCATTCAGAACTACGAACGGGAAATGTACAAGTTCACAGGAAAACTCCGGGAAATCATCAAGGAGAACGAATCGCTCTTCTCAAGGCTTACCGAAGACGAAGGATGCAGCTCGAAACTAAAAAGCGAAGTAACAAAGCTCAAAGTCGAGCTCAAGTCGACTAGAGAGCAAAACGACGTGCTTATCAAAAAGTGTTCAATCAAGCAGGATAAAGTGGAGGAGATACTGAAGGTGTACGAAGCTAAAGGTACGAAACCTTTTTGAAAAACTCCACAAAGAGAGAACAAGGCAGTTTTTTGTTTCAGTCGAACAGATGAGGAGAGATTTTGAAGTACTACATGGGGAGTTCATCAAATGCAGGGCAGAAAATGCTGCTTTGAAAGAAAAGGCCAAGTCACTGGTGGATTCGCAAGAAGATTACAAGAGCCAAATGCAGAATTTTATACCGTTGGCTGTACATACGTCAAGCGTAAACGAATGCAAAAAGTAAGACAAGACAAGACAAGACAAGACAATTTATTTTCCACTGAATGTTACAATACAAGTACCATACATTATGGGAATCGTTACTAATAAGTAGGTTATGATAATATTACAATTTCACTTTTTGGTCATAAAATAAAATAAATTAATATAAATAAATAGGTACATTTTTTTTGAGTGATAAATAATTGACCACTATTATGGGCTTTTCCCCAGAAAATCAGACCATATGACAGGCATTACTGAATAAGGCCAAAATATAGTAGTTTCAGTACTTCCATTGACATTCCATTGAAAAGTTGCATTTAGGGTTGCGTTAATCAAAGTAGGCAATTTTATTTTTTTTTAATGTGTAGGAGATGTCAGTGGAAGCTTAAGTTCAAGTTTGTGGGGTCGCCAACCTTGTCCCCCGGCTGCCATCTTGGAAAAAGGGTTGTAAAGGGTTTTCGCGATGTATCTCGTAAACTAGCAACTGTACAGAAAATTTAATCAAACATAAAATGTATACAATATCACTGGAGATTTTTCCCAACACCAAACCGTTATTTGTAACACCTCGACACGTGTTTCGATCACCAAGTGATCATCTTCAAGAGGATGATCAAATTGTTTGATCTTCCTCTTGAAGATGATCACTTGGTGATCGAAACACGTGTCGAGGTGTTAAAATAACGGTTTGGTGTTGGGAAAGATCAAGAGTTTGATCTCCCTTGAATCAACCTAATATTTTGATTTTATGATCTTTCAACAGATATTTTATGGTTTATGCGTTTGACTAATATAATTTTTTCAATAAATTGAAGGAACATTGAGTTTTTTAAGAATGAATAATTCCGTTTTTCAGATGGTACGAGGAATTGAAACTTCAGTATGAGAATGAGAAGGACAAGTTATTGAAAAATATAGAATCTCAAACGAGGACAATCGAAGAATTGAACAAGGAAATAATCAAACTCCGGAATACGAAAGATAGTTCAGAAGCTAAAGTTGTTCAGCTGGATAAACATATCAAGTGAGTTGGAACTATGAAATAAATTTGTAACGGGGAATGTTCCTCCTGACGCAAATCAAGTAGTTTTCATAAAAGACCTCTAACACAACTTATTATTTCAACATTTTTCCTTAAAAAATTATTCAAATACTTAAAAAAGATGAATGAAATATTGCATTCAACATTTAAAGGGATTCGTTTCTATTTCATCATTTGGCAACATCGGTTATAGTTAATAAAGGACAATGAATCTGTTACCTGTATGAGATAAACAAAGATGACATATTTCAGAGGCGTGATCTTCTGTTTACTTATGTTCCGAGTTCCGAGACGTTCTGTGACATATGACATTTTGTGCACCTAACCTAGCTTCCTCTATATAAATAAATAACAAAACAACTGTTGTTTATGTGGCTTGTGGAGGTGGTATTGAACTATAATTTATATTTNGACATGAAATAGTAACAGAGTTTTCAATGAAAGAAAAAACTAGTAATTGCTTCATTATAGTTCCAAGTGTACTAATTGTTTTTCAGTTTAAACAATTGTTACCGTAATCATTTGCCGATATGTATAATGGCTATATTGATAGTATTCATAGTTTTGTTATTGTAAAGTGTAAAAGGCAATATGAATTCATTTGTTTACATAAAAAAGGTTTCGATCTTCCAGGGTAATTTTTTATTGAATATAAAAACACTTCTAGGTTCAGCAAAGAATCAGGAAATTTTCAGTTGAATCCGAATGACGTTTCAACAAGTTTTGGTAGTAAATACAAACTTTTTATCTCGAAACTCATAGCGTAGCACCACTGATGAGACTGAGTTCAGGTCGAAGCAGCTGCCCGGTTTTGGACCACCAAGGTTTTGAATTCATTAATTATCTTACAGTGTAACCACAGAGTAATTGGACCAAAAATTTCAGTTTTCAAGCTAAATACATCAAATATAAAAGTTGTATCCACAGATGTTATTCGTCAAAAATATTTTTCGGTCATAGTTTCGAAGGCATGTAATCTGAAATTTAGAAAAAACCAACACTGAAAAATGTGTTTTTTTAATATCTCACGTAAACACTCAATATCATACGTAAAAACATGATCAAGATTGAAATACAGAATGTCATAAGAAAGACTCCATTCCTGTCCCAAAAGCAAAAAAAAATTATATTGCGATGATTTTATTAAACAACTGTAACTGGTATCCCTCTTTTTGACAAAATTCCAAAAACTATAATACCTTTCGCATCATTATCTGTAGTCTCAAATTTTTTTGCAAAAATTCTGATCGTTACCATACTGATTTCAACTCAAGAGCCACCGGTAGACAGATGTTTCAGCCTGTCAGGCATCGTCAGTACCGGGCAGGTGGTCCTCAAATGAAGACAATATAACCAAGAAAAATACTTAATAAAATAACTGCGTGAACACAAGCGAGACATAAGTGGAACCACCTATTGGTGTGATACCCAAGTCAACTCAACTCAGTATGGGAAAGATCAGAGTAGTACTTATCTATTTCTCTTATATCTATTTATCTTCATGAAAGAAAGTTGAAAATGTATAGAATTTCTTTATGTTCAACTTTCTTCCATCAATTTACATGTTCAATTCATTGTTTTTGACTCATACTTTGCCAAGAGCTTGGCAAAGCAGAGCAGAGTTTTGATTTTGA